CACTCCGCACAGCAGGCTTGCTGTGTTATGACCACATCCTCTCAACCACATGTGAGGATAGCTTTCCGTAGGTCAACGACCGATAATTAATATTCATGTCATAAATCTGGTCCAATTACCAAGGAACTCATGTCAGTGCACGCGAGTTCCTACCTCGCCCGGTTATTCCGGCCCTCGAGTCGAGCGAATTGAATTTGCTCGGGAATTGAAGGAATCCATTGTTCCTAATGAGCTGTTTATGTTTACCCTGCCGATTCTATACAGTACTAAGGTACTATTGTCGACTCAACAGCTGGTAATACATGATTTGCCACTCGAACATGCCACAATGGCTGATCCTCAAGGGACGGTATGGAAGTGGGACTCAATCCCTCTCTTACAGCGTATTTCATTTCAATAACACGGGGACGATTTCTTCCTGTCGGAAGAGGTCTTGATATCTGTTTCACAATTACCCTCTCTAGGTAGTTACTTCAAGTCCGGTATACGAGGCCTTGCGTCACCAGTTCCCGTCTATCTCATCATTATTACTGTCGATGCAAGTACTTGGGTGCTCCACCCGGAACTCGAAGGGGAGCCCAAATCAGGACATCAGCAGTACGGTGCATGAGATACCTCTCTACCCCCATACTTCCAAGAGAAGCAGCGAAGATTCGGGAATTTACGTCCTTTTTCGTGTTCTCCATGATCATCAGCAAGTGTCATGGTCATCTTCCCTACGTTTTTGTCCTGATCAAGTAGCACCATGGATCTACCCGAAGAATGCCAATCATATCAATGAAATTCGATTATTCCAACTCAATCGAAACCAAGGGCCCTGTAGCGCAATTGGAGGATGTCTCCGTGGTATCCCCAGCCCAGCAGGGAAGGTATGTCTCTTAAAGGTATGCTTGGGCGCCATCAAAGCAACTATCGCTCTTCAGTAAGACAGCCCTTCATACTTAAACCTCAACGACAAGGAACTATGCGTCTCAAGACTCAGTTATTAGTATCTCTGTAAGAAAAATTAGCAATCCAAGTCCCTCATCGACCAAAAATCAACGACGTCATCGTTGCTAGTGCTAGTTGTGGGTCTGTCTCACAACAGAGTCGACTAGGTACTCTACATGTACATCATAGAAAGTGTCTACCTCAGGTAGGTAACTCCAACTGCACTTTAAACCCAAGGAACCCAACAAATGGGCACATGCGTATCAACCAACTGGAATCAATTCCGCAAATTATTCCCCGGATGATGCCTCAGCACTGCCCTGGTTGCCATGCGTCCGAGCTCAGCTGCATATATATCCGTCTCCTTTCCATCCATTCTAGCGATCATCTACAGCTATAATTCGTGCAAACATACCTTAACCATATCCATAGTTAGGCCTTAAGCCTAGTGGAAGCTACAAGGCTAGAACATACTCCTAGGGGTCCTGACCATGGGATGTGCACTGCCCAACACACGCAATGATTAACAAAATTCTGCCTGTTGATTCTCACCGATGCAGAGAACCGCTAAGCGACTGGACTTTTATAATCGTCCAGAGGAGCTGCAGCTGCAGTCTTCCACTGTGAAAGTGTCTACCTTTGCATGAAAGACGCAGTATGGATGTATGCTGTGTGCTGTGTGCTTGAACCATGCACAGATGTGGCCTGAGTTATACTACCCAGCTTAGGAACCCTACCCTTTAACTACATATCTAACCCTCTACTCCGATACCCTTGCAGATGATGAGCCTCCGTGTTTTGGAAAATACCATGTCATTCCTTCTAATACTGTAGTGGTATTTCTGATGCAAGGATGGTCTAGTGGAATGATCCTCGAATACCCTTTCATGTCCATAGAGACAGTGTACATTAGAGGCTAGTAAGATAACTTGTGATGATACTCCATACATGCAAATGAATCAACCCGGTGCTGTGCTCAATAACGCTGGGAAACCCGATGAACTGCCTCTCTCCCATCGAGGACCACCCGCTCGGGCTCCCCTTCATAGTACCTCTCCTCTCTCGCCAGAGGGCGTGGCGCAACATAAACAGGTCGCTCGATATATTCTCTTGGCCGTCGAGCGTCATCGTCTACATAAACACTTACATCTCGTTCGGCTGGGCGGACGCTTCCCATCCGCGGGATCATCTCCCGGGGCTCCTCATATCGGGTAGCAGGGGGCCGCACACTTGGCATCCTGATGACCCTTTCGCGCGGGAGATCCGTCTCCTCGACGTAGGTCGCACGAGTCGCAGGATACCCGGCGACTTGAACGCTACTGCTGCGTGGGTAAGGCTCTCTGTCATCAACCAGTGGCGTCACGTAACTGCGCCGTTCGCTCGGAGCGGGCCGAGGGTATTCCGTTACCCGTCGATAAGCTGCTGGTGGAGGTGGCATTTCCTGCACGTATCTCCGGCCACCATATGGATCCTCGACAACGGAGACTGCTCGAACGCTACCACCAGGACGTATCGGTGCTGCGCCGTCATCGTAGACCTCGCCTCGCGGGATTCGACCAGGAGGTGGAGGCATCGCTTGCATTCTTGGCGGTGGAGTCCTCTCACGATAGTGATTTCCATGCTCGTCTATCAAGATCCGCCGTGGAGGCGCCGTCGCACTTCCTTCGATCCAGGCCTCTTGGTAGCGCGGCGATGTCGGCGATCCAACCGCCGGGGCGTAGTGTCTGGCGTAAGTTTGAGGCGGTTCGTCAAAATACCTGACTCTTTCTTGCGGAGGGCGCTCCACAATAGCGTAGGATGCAGCGCGCAGCGAGCGAGAACTGGGTCGCTCGATGTACTCCCGAGCATACTCAGGTTGCCGAGCCTGGTGTAGACTTGCGACCCTCCGTAGATCTTGGTCATCGCGTACCGGGCGCCGAACGCTAAGCCTCGAAACCGTCCTTGGGTATGCGGCTTCAACATGAGCTTCATGATAAGGATCGAGCTCATATGCAGGCTCCCGCACCGGCTCGATCCTCTCGTACACTGGCGTATATGGAGGACGAGGCGAGGCAATGTCAATATAGATCGGCCTTTCTTGAGGCTGGATTGTGTGTGGCGTGTCAGCAAAAGGCGGCGGCGAGACAGGCTCTTCCTTGATATATGCCTCGATGCTGCCACCTGCCTGCGATCTGTAAGAGACTGGGCCGGGTCGGCTTCTGTCTTCCTGTAGTCTCCTACGTTTCCTCGGCATCAACTGCTGGGGCGGAATTTCAGGACTGGCAGCCCGAAGATCCTGTCTCGCATGCTGCATCCGGTTAGAGCTGTGGTCTACTGGTCGGACTCTGGGGTGATGGATGGTGGGAACCTTAGCTATGGCCAGAGGGGAGACTCTTGACGGCTGCGGTGCTGCAGGAGAAGTGATATGATTGCGCACAACCCTCACATTATCCCTAGGTGATACTGTTTTGCGACGATTTTGATGCGGACGAGGCGGCCCCTGGTCTTGTCCACCGCGCTTGTCCGTATGTGGTTGTCTCTGCTCGATCGGTTGTGGAAGGTCTGCGCTTTCCATAGGCGGTATACCTGGAGCTGGAGGCGAATACTCGGGCTCCTCGAAAGCATCCGCCTGCTGTTGAATGGGCTGCAAGTTGTTGTTGTTGTTCGTGGGATCTACCTGAGCCTGCTGGGACTGCCTTGGACGGTCTGCAACGGGGTAAGTATCTTGCATTTCCTGATCCGACGCAGGTCTGTTGAGGGCTTCAAGCCGTTGCAACTCATCTGAGTAATTCTCTACTGGAGCTTCAGTAGCAACTTCCTCTGAATTAGAAAGAGGCGCCGAAGATGGCTTCTGCTGAATCGGAGAGTCAGGGGCTCTACTGGAGTCGAAGGATTCATCATACGAGTCGCTGGGGGCTTCCATGCCATTGGGCCCAGGAACATCGATGGATGGTGAAGGTGGAACCAGCTCAAAGGCCTTGTTCAAAACTTCAGAGACATCAAAGTCTGGCTTCGCGTCCTGCATGGCGGCCCGCTGCCGGGACTCTTGCTTCTTTTGTTCCAGCTGTTCTCGTAACGCCCTTTCCACTCTCTGTCGTTGCAACTGCAATTCCGCTCTAACTAGATCATCGGATTTGGTCAAGAAGATCGGATCGATCTCCGACGTAGGTTTGGGAACAATACGCGTCGACTGAGGCGCGCTGGTCACACCAGATGACGCATTGTTTTTGAGGGTCTGCGCACTCGCGACTCCTGCAGCTGCTGGCTTGGACTGAGATGGATTACCCTGAAAAGGAACTTGACCGCCAGCAGTTTTTACCTGAGCTTGTCTTGTTGGGGTAGAGGGATTAGGGGCATTTCGAGATGCGGTCTTGCGCACAAATTGCTGGGGAACTTTCAACCTAGGGTGAGCACCAGTAAAGATGTCGTCGCTAATTTTCAAAATCTTTTCATATTCCTTCACCTGCTCACTTTCCGGTAAGCTAGCTGATATAGCTGCAGCTTGGAGTTGAGCTGTCCCGGGAGTTGCCATAATGCTGAAGCTCCACGGGCGAAAGGTTTGGCTTAAGGGAGTAATATATTCGGGTACTTGCAGTACCTGTAAATCCAAAAGCCCTTTTAAACCTAGTTCACCTGTGATGAGTTGATCACTCTATCAACAGGAAACATGGAAGGTTGAGCTGGAAAGTCGGGGTGTATTTTCGCCTTTGACGTGGTCAAGGGAGAATGAAAAAAATAGCAGAATGCAAGCTTTCGAGTCCGAACGGGTTACTGTAAGCTACGCTAGGCTCACCTAAGGAGTAGTAAGGAGTCCGTGAGTCGTGAGTCCGTGACCATGGGGCGGTCAACGCTAAGCTCTGTACGGAATTACAATGCGGGCGGTTGTTCCCGCGGTTGAGGGCGTATGGGTTCTTGAAGTTGTGAATCATAGCGGGGGGTGACTCTACTTTCTTTCTCCTTTATCTATGACTCCTTTGGTGTTACGGGCTTATCATATATACCACAGAATCCAACCTAGGTTTACACTTCCCTCATCTTTCTCTTATAGACCCTTTATCTCTCTCAGTGATATCATTCACCCTCGGAGAACAATGGCGACTGCGGAATGTCCCACTGGCGCAGTACCTGATCCTGATCCAAGGCCAGTTTTCTTCTTTGACATAGACAATTGTGTATGTATACGCATCTCTCCTTTTACCTGTTGCCTTTTCGCAAATCCCAGGCTGATATGGAGTCATGCGCAGCTCTACTCTCGAGGTCAGGAGCCCCGCCGACTCGCTCTCCGACGAGGACTGACATGGCCAGCGCAGAATGCAACATCCATGATGAGATGCAGAAATTGATCCGTTAGTTGCCTCAACCCTCCTAGACATGAACGCACTCTGGCGATGAGATCATCTAACTTAAACACGGTGGCAGACCAGTTCTTCGTCAAGCACCTCTCCCTCTCCGCTGAAGACGCCCACATGCTCCATCAGAAATACTACAAGGAGTACGGTCTTGCAATTCAGGGCCTCACACGTCATCACACCATTGACCCCCTTGAATTCAATCGCGAAGTCGACGATGCCCTCCCCTTAGACAAAATTCTCAAACCAGATCCGAAATTGCGCAAGTTACTCGAGGACATCGACAAGTCCAAAGTGAAGATGTGGCTGCTCACGAACGCTTATATCACACATGCCCAACGGGTCATCAAGTTGCTGAAAGTGGATGATCTGTTTGAGGGCATCACATTCTGCGACTATTCGCGGCCTCCGCTCATCTGCAAGCCATCCCAGGACATGTATGAGAAGGCGGAGATTGAAGCCAGGGTGCCGAGCACGGAGCAGTGCTACTTCGTTGGTACGCTTTTCTTCGCCCTTTGACCTTCTCTCAGTATCGTGCTGATAATCGGCAGATGACTCGCACTTAAATTGCAAACACGCCGCGGAACGTGGCTGGACTACTGTTCACCTCGTCGAACCGACCCTCCCGGTCCCTCGGGTTCCGGCCTCGCAATACATGATTCGAAGCCTTGAGGAGCTGCGGACACTGTTCCCACAGTTCTTCAAGGCTAATGTCGCATGATAGACTCGACAGACGTTTGTTCATAGAAAGGCTAGTTTGTATATTGTTAGATTAATGAATATATACGAAGCATATGGGATTGGGCTCGCAATGGCAGGCTCTGATGCCGCTGTTGATTATAGAATCAGTGATGTATATGGAGTCAAAAGCGACAATTCCCTGCTGAAACAGTCGTAGCTGTGGATACATCATGCGGTCCTAGAGTCATACAGTGTCTTCTTTCTAATTCTTCAGACTTATGGGTCGTGGTACATTCCATCACGAGATACCTCTGCCTAAATTGCCATATATCGCTAGCATTTCATCATTGTGATTGATTTCTTGTAAATCTACTTATAAACGCGTCTGATGGAAGATTAACAAGCCAAATATCACTATATAACTGAAATCAGGACCCCTTCTCTTGGCAAAGGTTGGGAAAGCAATCTAGAGAGGCTGCAGCCTGCCAGGCACACTCTCACACAACACCACGGTGACCATTTAATCTTGTTCGCTTCTTTTCTTCTTACCCCTTCTCCGTTAACCCACCATCCATGTTTCTCTACTACTAAGACATGGCAAACACCACACAGCCATCTGCCCCTGGCGCAGATGAAATCATGCGCCAGGCAGTACAACGATTCCGCACCAAAATGGAGTCCTCGAACCGGCAGTTCCTCCAAGACCGCATCGACGAGATCGAAGCCATGAACCCCCCTACCGAAGAAGAAAAACTGGAAAAGATGCGCCCCTACTGGCGCACTAATTTAGGAATCAAAGGCGAGACTTCTTGGAATCACTGCGTCCCTGTAGGTCCAGCCCGCCAATCTCGCGAGGAGAGAAATGTCACTCGATTGGCGGACGTTAAAACGCAATACCACCAGTACATGGATGGCGTCCAGCCCCCAACACTGGTATCAGAGGAGTGGCGTCAGATGTATCTCGAGACTGTCCAAAGCGTGTGTAACGAGGCGGCCTTTCGCGACGAGGAGGACGAGGAGTTCGAAATCCCGCTTTGCCATGAGCTGGGTTCCTTTATCAAGTATGCCGATGGTGTCCAAGATCCAGACTTCCGGCGCTCAGGCATCGCTCCTTTCGGGCCTGTTTTTGTATCAGAGACCACGGACTATGCCTTTAAGGATCACCCGGCGGTCCTTGCATTGCCACCCCCTGATATCAACGAGGGCCGAGAAGCGCTGAAAGATTATCTGCAATATTTCCTCTGCGACGAAAACTTCGTTGGGGGGATTGTCGATGAAGACTTGGAGGTGAGAGTCGGTTTCAGAACCGGGACTGGCTGCCGGTGCGGACACGATAAATGGCACAGCGCCTATCTCTACTGTCGCCGGTTCGTGGAGGACCCTGATCCAAGCCACAAGGACTGGGCGTGGCGGGTGGTTGTTTTCCACGCCGACGGCGAGAATCCCACTATGCTAAACGGGCGGTACCCAAGATTCGATTCCATCCCTGAGTTTCTGGAATGGTATAGTAGCTGGCTGGAACACGCGGATCTAGATCAAATTCGGAAGGACGTCATGAAACCGGAGTATGATAGCGATGAGGACTGGTAGGCAGCTCGTGGATTCGTTTACAATGGATAGTCAAATCCAATCCATGCCTGCTCATCACTAAGTGCTCTCAAGTCCTTACCATCTCCGGCAGCGTTTTAGCTAGTAGGATTCTGGATACTCCTTCGGCTACCTCCTTGACATTGCGCCATTCCATGCCCAAGCCGCCAGTGACAGAATGATCATGTAGAGCCTGGCCAACCGAGACAAATATATCATTGCTGGAAGTTCCCATAGCTATTCAAAGTGTGAACTTGAACTTGGTTGATTGATCCTGTTTGAAAAAGCATGGTTGTAACGAGTGCCAAACCTTTATATATCTTGACAACATTTGAATCGTTTCGTGACGGAGCGTGGTCCACAATGGCGGACGGTGGCCAGTATGGCGACAGCCACATATTGTCCAGTCTAATTGGACGCGAGGGAAATGGCGCTTGTTTCTTTCTAAAATATCCTTCGTATGGAGAATAGCCATGATCCTCCCGCGATCTTCGGTCATCCTCTTGCGGGCCGGGCATGAATCATTCGTCCGTCCCACCCTCCGTCCGTTTGTCGTTTAAATCACGATCCTCCGTCTTCTGACACTCCACTATCTGATAGTTAAGTACCGCTGTGGATTTTCTACTCGGAGATTAAGGTAAGGTGATAATAATGAAGCTCAGGATGGATTTGATCCGGAGTAGATCAATTACGGAGCTAACCCAGGTACGGTTAGTCCAGTCAGTGGACATACGCGAGATCAACATCGACAATGCAAGTACCCGGCAAGAAGTGAATTGTAGCCATCAATAATTTGAAGTACATATGTACATTTTGAGTTGAAATAAGAAAGGGTGCCATAAGCACGATTAAAAGAATGAAGTAGGTAATGAAGAAATCGTGGTTAAGTAGAAATACAAGCACACAGGCAACATGAGCTAAGATGGCTTTGGAGGCCAATCAGAGAAACCAGCTCATAACCGCCAATGCTGCCCCAGAGATCAAAACACCAGGGCATGGAACGGTAACGATACTCGCAGAGGATTTCTTATCCTCGTCCTTGTCGTTATTAGAGGCTTGAGCCGAATTGTTGCTGTTTCTGTTGCTGTTGCTGTTGCTCGACGAGACGGTCTTCTGTTTCGCAAAGCCACACAACCCAGAGTTATTGAGTTGTGCGACAGGGAAAAAGACCCTTGGCTCACCAGCGTCCATCTCGACGGTCAGGTTGCCTACGTCGTTAGTAGTGAGCTTGGAGCAACCCAGGACTTCCATGACCTCTGTCCCTGGCGCATATGCATCCTTTAACGCAAGCTGGTACTTGCCACCATTTGAGCCCTGGTTAGAGAAAATTGAAACAATCTGCGCTCCCTCGGGGCCCTTCCTGGTGGCGTACGTGGAGTTGTCGGAATGAAGCTCTATGCTATGGTTGGTCACATAGCGGTTGTCGATGCTAATGGCGTGGTTTCGGAGCTTGTTTAGCGTTGCCGTGAGGATGAATAGCGGGCCCGTGGTATCATAGTTCGTTGTCCAAAGGGCTCCTCGGTTGAAAGGCGTGTAGTTGCCCGGCATGTGCTGCTCTTGACCTTGGTATACTGGTTGAAATTATCAGCGCTGCCTGGGGGCTCTCCTGTCCTGCCGAGGAACGTACCTTGGGGAATGCCGTCTGAGAGAATGTTGAAAGCCATCGCGTTTTTTGCCAACTAATTTGTACCTGTTAGCTGATATAAAATGTCTGGTGCAATCATCCAAACCTACGGTCGTGTCATTGGTCAGTGACGCAAAGCGAGGGAGATCGTGATTCTCCACGAACGTTTCCAAAAGTGTGAAATCCTTGCAATCCTTTTGCACGGCTCGGATACTCTCAGCGAGTCCAAGCATATTGCCTGCTGTGAAGGCTTGGATCAAGGCGTAATAGAGTGGATAATTCAGGACGCTAGAAACCAAATTTTCGTATTTGCACACCAGGCTTGTGTCTCCGTTGCTGACTTCGCCTATCGTGAATAAGCCAGCTGCCTTGGAGAAGCTGGACACATAGTCGTCATCCATGTGCAATGCAGCGTCAATGCGGAGTCCGTCCATAGAATAATTACCGACAAATTGCTTGATCCAATCTTCGATCATTGTGGCGACGGAGGTATCTCCTGTGTTCAGATCTGGCAGGGCAACCGTATCCACCGCAAACCAGCAATCCTTGTACATTTTAGGATCAGTCCAGTCCGTGATGGCACAGAAAGGATGATAGTACTTCTCATCATCAAAGGGGAAAAGCTGGGAATAGTCAATCTTCAGAGACGGGTCATCTTTCATGGAACCATTGACAGCTTGAGCCATATCATTGATCACAACATCAACAATTAGGTACATGTCTCGTCTATGGACCTCGCTCACTAACTTGTGAAGCTCGTCTGCGGTCCCAAAGTGTTCATTGAGAGCATACAGATTCTTGGGCCAGTATCCATGGTATGCTTCGCCATACTTGGTATTGTCCGGGATGTTTTCCACGACCGGCGAGATTTGGATGGCCGTGAATCCGAGGTCTTGGATGTAGTCGAGTCTGTCAATGATGCCAGTCCAAGAGCCTCCACAGTACCTGGTGGGGTCACAAGGTGCGTCAGATGAGCCCTTCGGGCGAGCAAAGCGGTCTGTCATAACTTGCTACATGGATGACACTGTCAGTACTTTGAGCCGAGACGGTCCCGCTTGACGTTCGACCTATCTGATAATGTTCAAGGAAGACAAACGTAGATTGCTCTCTCAGCCCATTGCTGAGAAGATGGAGCATCAGCTGATGCGAGATTGACTAAAGCAGACCAGATTGCACCATGATAAAAAGACTGCCGCATTTTCGCGGTCCTGGTTTTGCAGTTCGGCTGATGACCTTTGAGGGGCGAGCTTGTCAGGAAAGGAATGATACAACAGCGATGGATAAGTCAGAACCAACACGACTGTGGGAAGCACAGGAAGAGCTTTTCAAATTATATTGAGGACAACGGCTTATGTAGAGCGGGGTTCCTACAAAGGAAGGGAGACCCAAAGGCCTCGACGCCAGGAGAGAAGACATGTTTAATATACAGCGAGTCGCCTCAATGTAACCCTGCGATATTGACTTGACTCAACCAACAATTACTCTAGTGGTCTAGTGAATGCACGAGGGTATCCTAGCCACTGTTGTAATGGGACCCTTGCCTGCTTGTGAAAGTGTGGATATCACGGCCAAGGCCCGAAAAGTGAATTCACACCAGTTCAAGAGAGCCCTTTTGAGGCTAAGTCTGGATTTTGCGAAATTGCCTACATGGTCCTGGACCAGCAGCTAAGCATCGCTTAGAGCGCATTTTGATAGCGTCCCACAGGGGTTCGACGGTTCGAGAGGAATGACTCCAAAGCGAGTCATTCAGAGCCTGCCAGTGACAGGGTGTGTCATGGACGAAAGTCACTAAACCATTGATGCGCTTTCATAGCGGACGGTCCATTTCCACAATCGAACGGCCTGCAAGAAGTTGTGCTTTCTGTCCTTTGGAGAGAGCTGCCAGACCAAGATGCGGCGCAGGAGGTGTTCCCAACTAGCAGCCAACGATTCTGTTGACATTAGTTTTGTGGTAGGGAACTGAGCAGTAACTTCTTTCGGGTAGATTGCCCGAATGCGCCTACGGATGATTCGCGGCGACTATGTAGTCTGCCTAGTCTACCTAGGAACTGCTCTGTAGTCGAAGCACTAAGGAAATTGGACTGTGGACGCTCCGGCCACTTGCGCTTTATGGTTTAGACGCTCTGGCTAAATTGGTCAGGGACTGGTGCCTCAGGCCCCACATCCAACCAATCACGCGGCGTCGCGTCCTGAGGCTCAGGGAGCAACAAACACATCAACAACCGCATCTCCTCGGCCCTTAATCTAGGCCTGCAATCGGAGTTCTATTGGCCATTGATTGAGCCAGAGCTCTCACTCCGAATGTTGTGCCATGTCTGAATTATTTATTGGCCATGTTGTCACTCTGACCGACGGTCGGCAGGCCACCGTCCGGTTTATTGGGACTACGCATTTTGCTGCCGGCGATTGGGTCGGTATTGAGCTGGATGAACCTACCGGAAAAAACGATGGCGCCGTTCAAGGAGAACGATATTTTGACTGTGAACCAGGCTATGGAATGTTTATACGACCGTCTGCTGTTGACGCTATCGTTGAACAGCCTGTGCGGGAGACGAAGCAACCTCCCAGGGGCGTCGCCAGTGCTCCGGCGAACAGAGGACGAGCTCAGACTGGTTCTACAACAGGTGGGATTGCCATGAAAAGACCCGGCGCCTTGCCTGCGAACAATGTCAAAAGACATAGCGTCAGTGCTGCGAGCCCGTCGCCAACTTCGCGGTCCGCATCTCAGCGGACGTCTAGGGTAAATTGGTCCATGCGTGCCAATCGTCTGGTGACTGCTAACATGTCGCAGGTTCAGTCACCGTTAAAATCGCCGGTCAAGTCTCCATCGACCCCCGCCGTCCCTGTTTCCTCCACTCGTTCGTCCATCAGTGGCCCCTCGCGGCCGTCCGCAGTAAAAGCCCGCCCTCCGTCCGGACCAAAGACGTCGATGGGCCCTCCTCCGCCTCCCTCTGCCGCCGCTCGCCAATCTCGATCGTCTATATCAGGACCAGCCAGCAAGGCGGCCAGACCAAGTCTTCAAAGTGGACCGACAACATCTGCAGGGCAGTTGAAGCGGCCTGCACTGCGCCCAACCGCTCCCAACAAGTCATCGGAGGAAACAGAAAGCCACACCAGTGCCTATTCGGAGGAGCCTGAGATAGATCCCAGAGATGCCGAGCCTGACATGGACGGAAACGAGGCTCCTATCCGCAAGGCATCTGAAAAGGCACCGAGCTCAGCGCGTCCGGCCGGCGGCCGCCCTAGCCTCACGTCTTCCTCGCAACGGCAAGCACAAAACAATTCTGCCGCAGTCGCGAGGGAGCTTGATGAGATGAAGACAAAGCTCAAGGTCATGGAGAAGAAACGAGCGGAGGACCGAGAAAAGCTTAAAACCCTAGAGAAACTACAGTCAGAGAGGGATAAGTTCGAAGCCATTATCCAGAAGCTGCAAGCAAAGTATCAGCCGCAACAGCTTGAGATTGGAGAATTGCGCAAGAAACTGAAAGACACAGAGGCCAAGCTTGAGGAGGTTGAGCGTCTCCAAGCGGAGCATGAATCGATTCTGGAAATGGCAGCATTGGACCGTGAAATGGCCGAAGAGACAGCTGATGCGTTCAAGCACGAGTGTGCCGTGTTAAGGACGAGGGTTGAGGAGCTTGAACTGGAGCTGGATGTCCTAAAGGAAGAGAACGAGGAGCTGGGCCAGGTCATGACTCCCGAAGAGAAATCCAGCCATGGATGGCTCCAAATGGAAAAGACAAACGAGCGCCTCCGCGAAGCTTTGATTCGTCTCCGGGACATGACCCAGCAGCAGGAATCGGAGCTACGAGATCAGATCAAGGAACTCCAGCAGGATTTGGAAGATTATGCTGCGATTAAATCCCAGTACGAAGCAACGAAAGAGAAGCTGCTTGTATCTGAGAACAATGTTGAAGATCTCAAACAGCAGTTGGAGACAGCACTCGGGGCTGAAGAGATGATAGAAGAGCTGGCGGACAAGAACATGCGATACCAGGAAGAGATCAACGAGCTCAAAGCTGCTATCGAAGACTTGGAGGCTTTAAAAGAAATCAACGATGAGCTTGAATACAACCACATCGAAACAGAAAAGCAACTGCAGGAAGAGATTGATTATCGAGAAAGCCTGTTCAACGAACAATGCCGAAAGATTTCTCAGCAAGATGAAGTCATCGAAGATCTAGAATACACTCTGGTCCGCTTTCGGGAGCTCGTCTCTACTTTACAAGGGGATCTGGAGGATATGCGAGCATCTCAGCAGATTTCAGAAGCCGAGGCGAACGATCTTACGACGCGGTCGCGAGCCATGATGGACTTGAATATGAAACTCCAGGCGTCGATGGCCAAGACGCAGACAAAGACAATCGATATCGAACTAAACCGTATGAACGCAGAGGAAGCTATACAGCATCTATCCATTCTCAAACTCTATTTGCCCGACTATTTTGAAGGAGAGCGTGACTCAGTTCTCGCCCTTTTGCGCTTCAAGCGGGTCAGCTTCAAGGCTTCTCTGATGAACCACACCATACGTGAAAACATCACTGAACAAGCCTCGATAGCGACAGCTCTCGATGACATATTCGTGGCCTACGACGTGCTTGAAAAACTTCTGTACATTTCGTCTCTCAGCGACCGGTTTGTTAATTATATCTCTAGCTGCTCTACGGAAAATTTCGAGAGCATCAAAGGGGCATTGTTCGAGATGGAGCCAGTGGAGCGCACGTTGAATTTCTGGATGGAAGGTTTAAAGAAAAATGAACTGAACCTCAGAAAGTGCGCTGTAGAGCTTCAGAGATCCATCGCTCTGCTTTCGCATCTCGCAGAGACCCTTCTTCCTACGTCCCTCGAGGCATTTGCGGATGAACTCTGCATGCGCTCATCAGCGACGCAGTCATATATTGATCATGCTGCAACTTGCATGGCACGGTTGAAGACATTGCTGCAGGCAAAAATTACGGTTCCGGAGGAAGGTGATAAGGAGTGCTCTTTGCTCTTCACGAAAGCGGATGGGTTTGTGTCCCAAGCTCGGGGATTGAAAGTTGCCCTAGGCAAGGTTTATCGTGCGCTCGAAGACCTTAGATCGCGATCACTGTCTCTATCACAAGATGTTGCCGGCCCCTTCAAGAGCGCCGAAGAAGCTGCCAAGGAGCTTTCTGCTTTGGCACGTCAGCTTGGGGAGAACTTGGCGATTCTCATTAGCGATGAGACTCGGACCGAACCCTTGACTATTGAAGAGGCATCGAAGACGATGTCAGAAACCTCCACAGCTTATTGTCTACCGTCGGAAGGATCCGAAAGCAATGACACCATGTCCCTACTCCATAATCGATTACGTACACTGAGTGGCCTCCTCGAGGAGCTGGACGCGGTCTCGTCCGATCTATCCATCACCACAGAGTTTGAGAGGCGTCCTGCCCCATGGATTGCAAGAGCTGCAGAGCTCAAGTCGAATAAGACAAACTCACCAGACGCGGATGAGGAAATACGCCGGCTCAAGAATGAGATCCATGAAGCGTCGACAGCCCTGGGCGTCAAGGACAAAACAATTGAGGAGCAAGCTCTTCGAGTAGAATTGGTAGAATCCAGAATGCGTGAGGCCACCAAGAGAGCATCCATGGTCAAGGACCTTGAAAACAAGATCGAGGAGATGCAGGCGAAGCAAGCGGACCTCGAAGGGGTTATTGAAACACAACGCAAGGACCTGCAAGCCTTGGAAGCGGAGCGAGAGGAACTCAAGAATCGTCTTGAGCGAGTCAAACGTCTCTCCGGTACAACAGGAGTCGGAACCACGACTGACGGGGTTGTCATCGATAACAGTCTCTCCTTGGCCGCCTTGCGCGAGAACGAGGCTCTCCGCGCAGAAGTCGCCAGTCTACAAGCGGCTGTCCGCTTCCTTCGCGAAGAAAACCGACGCTCGAACATGCTCGACCCGTACTCGGTGCAACGGGCGGCGGATATGCACTCATGGCTCGACTTGCCGCTTACCAAACCACCGTCAAGTGCTCTGCATGACAAGGTCCAGCAGACCGCGACCGAAAGCAGGGACGTCTTCGCTCATCTGCTCAAGCTGACGAAAGAATCCAACATCTGCGACCTCAAGTCTACCATGTCCCAGAACAATGGCAATCGCGTCGGCTGGCGCCCATCAAAAGTCAAGCTCCGCTACCAGGTGCTACAACAGCGTGAGAACTACGAGCGCTGGGCAGAATGGAAAGACGACATCGTCCGCCACGAGCGGGAGCAGGATAGATTAGCCGCCGCGAAGAAGGAGAGAATCTCTCGCGAACGTGCTCAGAAACATGCGTCGCGGAACTCCGTCTTTGGCGATTTCCCCAAGGGCCTGGGCCATGGTATGATGGGCGCCGCCTGGCAGATACTGGGCATGGAACATGGTGATCCCAAAGCGTTTGACCAGCCGATCGAGACTTCTCTGGCGCCTTCTTATTAAAGCCTTTCACCTTTCAAGACTCTGCACTGAAGGATCCTTGTCTGTGGATGCGGACATCATCTTCTGCAAAGTCTCTATAAGCGTTTCTCCCATTTAAGTATCTCAACTGCGTTTTGGACTTTCTTGGTATAATAGTGTTAAATGCCACTTCCACAACTAGTTGATGACTCGCCAGATACCCCTTTTCAGATCCTACTTTGCCCGACTATCTCAGCGCATTCTTTTCAAAGTCATAATTATAGAGTTTGACTTCGAGAACAGCTTCGCGTCACTTTCGCATATCGTTGCAATGATCATACCCCTATCTGTCCACTGCTTCATGGTTATAACTCGTATATTTCAAGGCGTCCACATATACACAAAGACGTCCCAAGTAAATATTTATTACCTAATGTAAATGAAACCCAAAACTGACGCTCAACAGTAAAATGTGCCGATGCTCGAGAGATAAGACATGAGGCGAAACAGGTAAATGTACAACACCAGCTCGGTATACATCTAAGGTGAAAAGGCGAATGCAAACCGAAAATAGACAAGATCAAGCTCAGTTTGTTGTCATGAAAATGTAGCAGATGAGTAAGTTTGATCGGAAATGGGCTCAGATGAACAAGATCATCACACTAATCATGAAGATGGCTTTGGCGGTCCGTGAATCCCAAGGTATGTAGCAGATCTCTTCCACAACATCGCTCAAAGAAGAAACGTGTATTAGATAAATGAAGAATCTTTATACAATATCGGAATCGAAAGTGCTCCATCGCTTTCTCTGTCAACTGTCCATCCTTAGTGGATGAGGCGATGCGAAGATCATAGGGCGCCAGCAAGAATTGCCTCGGTGGCTATAGATTGGAAAAGTTAGCATACCGCATGCAACAGGGGGATTGGAAAAGTATAGCCCTTACCTGAGTTGATATAAGGACGCTTGAGGTCCAGATTGACGCCGAAGCGTCTCTCCAGTTCCAATTTGATGCTCTTCTTCGTCACGGACATCAAATCGGCTGTCCGCAAAATTTCGCGGATCTCAGCGAGAATGGCATCGTCGCTTGGCAAGTGGGACAGATTCTCCATTTCCATGTCCGCGTGTCGGCTCATCATTTCTGATGGCGCCAAAGACATCCGGGATCCGAAGCGAGGTAGGTCCAGCTGTGACATGGGCCGCGAGCCTGGGAACCCATACTCAGACTGAGCGGGATGGTAAGACTTGGTGCCGTAAGAGATACCGGAAACTTCAGATCGGTCATCTCGTGAAGTCTGGGCCTCCCACAACTCTGTCTGATACTCTTCCCACTTCTTCTTCGGGATCGAGGCGGGATCGAACTTTCCTTCGTCAGAGATAACCACCTTGCGGCCTTTCTCTCCTGTGATGATACGTGTGTTACCCCAGCTAAAGTCGTCCATGTGCCAGAAAGAGTAGAGGGGCAAGGCGAGGGAGAAGACAGGTAGCGCAAGGAGGTACACGATCATCCATCCAACCATTTCCCACTTCCGACGAATAATGAAGATAAGAGCCTGTAAGCCGTATATGGCGGCAAGTAGAATTAATGAAGTGTAGGGGATCGTCGATGTGTCCTTGGCCAGCCAGTAGATGAGGTAGATGATGTAGGCAAGAGTGACAGGTTGAATCACAGTACTGAGCAAATCAACGAAAACGACGAATCTCATACTGAAGCAACAGAATCCACAAAGCTGTTGCATTGGAATCAGCTCGATAAGGTTATGGACAGTGGAGTTGATCCACCGACGACGTTGTGAAAGGAAGACTGTCCAACTTTCAGGAGCAATGGTCCAGGCCTTGGCACTCGAGATGTACTTGGTCTTGTACTTAGAGTGGTGCTTGAGGAGAAGTGTGGTCAGGTACCGATCCTCACCCAGATGAAGCAGATTCTTCATGTGGAGTGTATCAACACGAATCTCAGCGTAAGCGTCGACGACCTCCTTGCTGACGAACAATGGCTTGGCTGTCTCTGCAGAGCGAATCCGATACATCGTGAAACATCCAGGCAAACACGTGACGGACCCGAATAGACTCTCGAAAGCTTTCGTGAGGTTGTGAGATATGTAGTACTCATAAACTTGAATCATAGTCACCGCAGAAGTTTTAGCATTGGTCAGGGCAGTTTCACCACAGACACCAATAAGACGAGTATCATTCAAGAACGTAGCCACCATCCGTGTTGCTGAATCAGGAGCGACGACTGTATCGGCATCGACCTGCAAGATAAACTCGTAGAACGTGGGGTTGACGCCAATGACGTTGCGGATCTGGTGGTGCATCTCAAGTTCCATAGGGCTCATGGGATGGTTATAGTGGACACGGTTCAGGAATCTCATCAGGACCATCTGGGAGTCACGTTTGCCTCGATTACCGGGGCGCGAAACCTCTGAGGGCTTTCCGACCTTGACAATCACAAGGAAAGGGACAATGTGACCTTGGACTTCGTACAGACCCGAGTAGACTTTGCCCATGTTGTGCTGTTTCTGACCTTCTCCCAAACTCTCAAAGCTGAGGGGTTCAGGGTCCACTGACTCCGGAACCCCTAAGATATCGAGGACAATCCTGGGCGTGGGACGATCGTTACCCTGACCAATAATCATACCGTCACAGATAACGACAAGAAGCTTGCGCTTGTCGTCGTACCGCATGCGTGCCATTGAATCAATGGCACGGCGAAGAGATTCCTCGTCTTCCGTGTAGGCGGGGACCTGGCAGATGATGAACTTATCCAAATTCTCGGGCACGTTCTTCCTACCGAATTGTAGAGCGGCAAGGAACTTGAAGACGATAATCGAGCAAATTAGAATTGATATGGCCAGGATGAAGTACCGAGCAAACTCGCACTGAGCTGAGTTACGCGTGTCCACATGACCGACGAAGAAGAGGTTATCCAAACAAAGTTGCATCCGCTGACGCAGCGCCGAGTCGATCCTCAAATTCTCCCAGTGTTTTGACAAATCTTGGCCAGGAAGCGATTGGAAGAGCGACACAACACTGTTGTCCATGAAATCGGTGTCAACATCCGGAGGGACCGTCTCGCCGGGAGGTGCTTTCGTCAGCCGACCACCAGCGATGTAGTGGGTCAAATCATAAACCTTGCCATTGATGCTGCCAATAGACTGTGACTTTTTACCGAGCGTGTTCAGATACTTTGGCGTATAGCCAACGTAACCTTTGAGGTAATTTGCTTTGAGCATCACCATTTGTTCATAGAACCAGTCGGGACGGGAGTCGTTGGTGAAGTGCCGGAAGTCATGGTATACGGAGTTGGTATCTGTGCCACTGATCGTAGTTGCTGATCCCGAGATATTGGTCGGTCTGTAATCTAATAGAACCGTGGGGTCAACGCTTCCTGACTTGCCCTGACAGAGTGCAGACACTTGCACCGGAAAGAGACCGGTAGCATCGACACCCGCGTACTTTTTCAACGCCGATTCGGGCACAATATCTGGATAGTGACCCGGCATGAATTTGTCCAAGTCGAAAACGACGCCGCGAATAGCAATGAATGAACTATGTCCGTCCTTGCCATTGTGCGAAGACAATTCCGCTGCAGAGTAGACGTGTTGCGTGGGACAAACCAGCCCAGGAAAGGCGACGATAAAGAAGATGGCGACCCCACAACTGAACCAAATGATCAGATTGATGGCGAACTTTTCACGCCAGGCCATTCGCACATCTTTGCGCTTCATCCGGCCAAAGAGTTTAATCGCGAAGTCCGGGACGTAGAATGTGAGTAGGTAAACGAGCGCTACCCAACGCTTGCGACTACCCGAGATGGGCGCATCATCGACTTCTTCCATTTTCTTCTCATTTCCCTTCTCGAGCATCTGCTCCCGCGTTTCATGGTTTCGAAACATATCTCCGGAGTTGAAGGCAGAATTACCGGCATCAGAGCGTCCATCGAGATCACGGCTGCCGAAGTAACCCTGTTTCGCCTCGTCACCATAGATGAACGCTCCAGGGGACTGATCGGCTGGGTTGAGAAGTCGGACTTTGGAATCCCCGTAGCCAGTGCTACGAGGGTGGAGCAAACCATCACCTCCTTCATCCGACATATCAGCAGCATACACAGGAACAACACGCTCTCCGACTTTTGCTAGATCGGCCCAGCATCTCTCGCTCAGGAACACACCAGTGCTGCCGACTCTAGCCTCATTGCCCGGCCAACGCTTCTCATCAAGGACGACTTCCGCTTTCTCTTTATCACTGCCAACGACGATGTTGCCAATTTCCGCCAGACCAAGAAACTCAGCGAATGGAAGAAAAACGCTGAAGTCCGCGTTCCGTAGCCGTTGACTAATTTCAGCAATGCCGAACATCTGTACCTGTGCTCGTACGCATTTGCTGTCAAACTGATTTGCAATGCGCCGGTCGTTCGGCTTCAGGCAGAAAATGAAGTAGGGGTTCAGGTTCGTGGAGCTCAGGCATTTATTAACAATGTCCAGCGAGGAAAGAAATTGACCAGCGGCACCTTGTATGCCACTAGTGAGCATAGCGCTTTTCCGTCTGCCGGAAGATGAATCCTTTGCGATGCTCTCTGCTTGACTCTCAACCTCATCTGCATCTCCCGCATCGAAGGCCAGCCGTGAAGATGGGCTTGTCTTTCGTCGAGCCATACTAGGCATACGCAAGGGTTTTGAGCTAACTTGTGCTTGCATGATAGCCGTTTTCTCCTTAGGATGGGTGACTGTTTGCAAGGCCGCCTGTCCGAAGAGTTCCCTCACAAAGTCGCTTTTGGTGGATTTCATCAGCCTCATAAGGTCGCCGGAGATAAACTCTCCATTCTCCTCAATTAGGCCGTTGACAGAATAATCCACTTCACCGGCAAAGTGCTTTACGGTGAAAGCGGAACGAGCATTTTGTGAGATCAAGCTGGTCCTCTTCGAGCCCTCCACAATGATAGTAGGGTTTTTGTTCTCAAAACGTCTCCTCAGAGATTCTAGTAATTGATTGTCGGTCCGCCCGCGCCTCGTTTGATCGTCAAGGATACTGAGTAGCCCAT